CCTGCTTGATTTGCTTGCCATGGGATGCCACAGACTGGTTTTGGAGATTCATATAACAATTTTTTCCAAATCTAAATATTTCCTCCAACAGTGTCATCTGCTCTCTCCAGCATTGCTACTAATCTTTATTTAGTTATTTACTTTACAATTTCTGGAGGGAATGGATGTGCCCAAGGCACCCCTTCAGGCAACACTTTATATCAAGGTTCCATTTATAAATACTTCATGAAGGGCTAATGAATGATTAATAGATGTTTTAATGTATGACCAATCAATGGTTGTAGATTTTGCAATGTCCAACAGACAAGTAGGTTTCTTATAAGCATAGGTTATAACCATATCTGACAACTTCTACTGATGGGCTTCTAAACATCTATAGCATACACACTACTCATATCTGTAACATGCTAAAAACATCTACTAATCACTGATTAATTTTTTATAACCTGTTTTGAAGCAGAGCCTGTCTGTGGTGTACATCCCTTATGGGTGTCTCTGACTCTCCATTTCTATAGGATTGATAATTTACTTGTCATCTAAGGATTTACTAATTCCAGCTCAAGCATAAGGCTTTTGTGAGTTAGCTTCAGCATTTTCACCTCAGCCTAAGAAGAAATGTCTTTGCTGTCCACAGACTTTTTTCTGTCTCAAACTTCAGGCTGCTTTACCCCACTAATGTGCATTTTGCAAGCTCTGCTAAAATGCAGTGATTCTTAGGAGGCAAACCCACTCTAAAATACATTTTCAGCCTGTTGAACTCAGTTTGCTTGGTTGTTCTCAGGACAGCTGGCCCAGTCATGATGGTTCCCAAAATTTTAGGGTTTGTGGTTTTTTTTACTGTCATCCCTGTGTGCTTGGTTCAAAGTCTGTCCATTCTCAGAAAAGTATGAGAAAATACAAACTTCACAATAATCCAGTGAACAAGCCATCTCTCAGAGGATGTTTGATTCAGACAGAGGAACATACATTTTGGATGTCTGATAAACCCAGGTGCTGACAGGAGCGTTCGTCTGTGGGATTCTCATCGTCTCCAAAGGTGAAAGCTATGACTGTGCTCTCTGCTCTATTGGGAGCACTCAGGTAGAACTGACTGAAGTGGGCAGTACAACTCACTTCCTGAAAGTGTGTAAGTCCTGCAATTAATCATTGGCAGCTGAGAAGCAGTAAGTTGTTTAGTATCATATTTTGCAAATAAGTTTTAAATTTTTAATTGGTTTCCACTGAACTTAATCCCAGGGTGGAGTCCTTTGCTGTGATTTATCTAGATGTTGAGACCAATACTTTAATGGTATTAATTAAAAGGATCTGCAGGTTTTTCTCATTTCTGGAGTCATTAGTAAAATAGTCTCTGTTCTGAGTATCCTCAAGTAAATATCCCATTCCCATTTAAATCAAATACTAATCTTTCACTGATTGCTGTTTACAGCAGGGTTAGGCTGCTACACCTGCAGCATTAGCACATTGAGCCTAAAGAAACACATAAAGCATAACTCAAAAAAAAAAGGGGGGGGAGAATAAAGGGTAAAAAAGGAGAGTTTTATTTTTCATTATTAACATGGAATTTCCTCTGGCTTTCTTAAAACCATTCATCGTCAAAGACACCAAAGCCTCAGAAATAAGAACCTCTCAGAACTACTCAAGCTCTCGGAGCAGGCAGGTTTCTACCCACATTAGCACAATAGCTTTTATGTTATCCAGTTAGCAGTCTGTGTTTCTGGGTTTATCAGGGTTTTACCATGATCTTTTCTTTCTTTTTCAGCTGGTTAATAATCCACTAGCAAGTCAAGCAGCAGCGGCTGCAGCAGCAGCAGCCATGGGCTCAATAGCGAGCTCCCAGGCCTTTGGCAATGCCCTCTCCAGTCTTCAGGGGGTCACAGGTCAACTCGTCACTAATGCACAAGGACAGGTGAGTAGAAGATGGAGCAAACAGTGAATTCCTGTGGCAGGCTGATCTTGGGACAAGAATGAGTTCCGCTTGTATGACAGCAATTTAAAAGTGCACATATTGAAGATAAATAAATATTGATTTGCCAGACAAGGTAAGAAATGGAAAGTCTGAGAACTGGGAGGAAGTTAGAAGCTGTTTGAAAGTGTCTTCAAGCCAGAAAGAGCTTAGGATTTGGTTGTTTTAATTCAACCTTTAGAAAAGATCACAATAGTGCAATAATTCGGTATTTTAGAAGTCCAGAAACCCTGTGATCCTTTACAAACACAGCAGCTGTCTTCTTCCATTTACATATGCCTAATAGCAGCAAATATTTTAAAGCACTGGTGTGCTATTAAGACTACACTTTTCTGCAAATTGTAGCATTTCTGTATTACTTCATTTCTAAAAAAGATATTTATCGTTTCAAGTAAAGGAACACAAACTGTAATGAAGTATCTGGGATGGATTTAGCTGGGTGGCTTGTTCATTTGATAATTAATTTAAGCAGTTTGCACTGAATCTGCCTGTCTGTAGTGCCAAACCTGGGAGAAATTTTAAAGAAAATTTCCAAATGGAATCATGAACAATTTTTATGGTGTGTCTAAGAGAGAGATCTTGTGTTATCTGCACTTCGGAGCCCGTTATTTTTTACTATTTCAGTCTTAATATGATGGAGAAAGTTATGTATCTGAAGCCATATATATATAAATAAATCCATTGATGCAGCATGCTTAAGTGGCTTTCAGATTGTAGCCACTGTCATTCTTTATTACATTTACTAGGACTAAAATTAACACAACTACTTGTTTCACATAAAGTCACTGCAACAAATCTGTCGATATAACTTATGACTGGACCTGGTAACTGAGTAATTTGAATGTCATTATTCTAAATGCTACAGATTGGGTGTACGGTGATATCTGCAGTGCTTATGTGGATGTTAGGTCCTGGTAAGCATGTATTGAAATGATGCAGCTTGGGTGATCTGTGAATCTGAAGTTTAGTTTCCATACTTACTGTTTACTTTGGAGAAAAAATGCAAAGAGCAGGTTTTTGCCAGGTCATTTTCTATCACCATGTGATTTAATTGGAACAGGGATGACATTTTTTATTTTGGCCCATTAAGAAATAAAAGACAACACTTTTTATAGGCCCCCCCCCCCTTTTTTTTTTTAGCATAACACGTAAACAAAGATCCATCCTAAGCCTCACTATCACCATCCAAGTCCCAGGAAAAAAAAATGCTGACCTTGTTATATTTACTGGGTGGGCGCAGAATTGTTCCATCACTACCCTGAGGGTTGAACGATGGAGCTTGTCAAAGTGAGGCCTTATCTAATGAATCATCTTATCGCAGGTGCACACCACACATATTAAAGGAGGATTGTATGAACAATGTGCCCTCTACAATAACCTTTCAATGTCTACTTTAACCCTTGTTTCAATCCCTTTTCATCAAAGGATCATTTTATGCAGCCAGCTTTAAATGGAGGCTCTCAAAAGCCTATTAAGATTTCTGGAGGGATGGGGTATTGGTTTGGAAGAGAAGTTGGTTATAATACCTATAACTCATAGTCAGATCAGCTCCAACCTAGAAGCCTGCTTGTTTCTATCTGTGCTCCAGAAATGGTTCACATCGCCACACAAGTGAGGCACTTGGCACCAAAGATACTCATTGTAAGAGCTGAAGATATAAACCCAGACTAGTTTTTTGGTGGCTTATCCGTTACATGTTCTCCACAGAAAATATAAGTACAGCATGGCCATTCATTGGATGTTTCAAAAAAATACTACTGTAAAGATATCACTGAATGAAGCTATAGATTCCCTCAGGCTGAGTCTTGTTTATTCCACACATAATGTAGAGTCCAGTAATTCCACAGGTTGCAGAGGAAGAGAAGAGAAAGGAAGGATCTTCCGTATTGTTGGGTAAACTTACAGAATCTATCTGTTTGCCCAGGTTTTTTATATAAGAGCTGTCTTTTTTACTTGTTTTTACAAATGTTCCTGGGTTTATAATCAGCACTGCAGACCTTGCCACAATACAGATAAATATTGGTAATAAGTGTGTAATATAACCCCCATTTTTATAATATTCAGTAGAAACCCATGCTGCTTAGAGCACGCTTCTGAAGCAATCTGTCTACAAAACAGGACTATTCAGTGTAACTAAACCACATGCCCAAAATTAAATGACATTGCCTGCAAAATGATAACATTATAGCAAGTAAACACGAACTGAAAGGTATGTTTCTTCAAAAGTGGGAGTGTAAGTGAATGGTAGTTTGGGATACTCCTTTCTGAAGGATCTGCTTGGATTCATTAAGGAGCCAGATTTCCATCATACGTTAAGAATCTGCCCTTTGTAAATTGCCCCTTTCAAGGAATCATGTGACACCCAAAATTTACTCCTGCAAATATGAGGCTGGATGACTTACCAGATTGTTTGTATGTGCAATCTCTGTAATTATGCACTGCTTCTGTTACAGAAATTCAGGGCTTGTAAATGTCCATCTGTCTAGCTAAATACATGGTGATCAGTACTCCCTGGAGACATTAAGCTATAGGTCAAATCCAGGATCCTATGGCAAATTTAGGCAAATAATCTTTTGAAGGACATATGGCATGGCCTCAATTCCCAAATGTCTAGGAGTTCTTACAATCACAGTAACAAAATTATATATATTAACAGTCATTTATATAGCATATTTGTTATTAATTTAATTTTTGAATTCACAATTATGCTATGATGATTTTAATTTGTTTTTGCTTTGGATGGCAGTATGAACCGTAATACCAGAGCTCCCCAAAACTACTGCAGCAAAGAGATCTAATCCATTGGAATAATATGATTAGCTCACCTGATTAATTTGATACGGTACAGGTAGAGTCTCTAAATCAAATTTTCATTTTCAGAGGCACATTATGAAGAGCTATTGGCCCGTGTAACACTGCTTCACATTCTGTTTGCCCTCCGCACTTTCCAGGAAGCATTTGCAGGACTGGGCTTTCATATCTTAAATTTAAAGGCTAGGATAGCAGAATTGCCAGATTCCACCCTGTCAGTAGATCTCACTGATTTCAAAGAGAACCTGTTTGACTTCAGCCTGCTCTTATAGTAGCATCCTGCTGCCATTGCTGCCCTTGGATTCTTCAGAGATGGAACAACCCAACATTTCTCTTTTTCACTCTGTTATTGCAAATGAAAATAAAAAACAAACCCCTCATTAGGAGTTTTGAGTGGGGTTTATTATGTCTATTAAATACATGAAACCTGTATTTTGGCTGTTTTCTTAATCTTTGTAAGGAGATGAACCCCACAAATATGGAAGCAAGGTTGATGCTTCTGGTTTCTGTAAGCGCTACCTGCAAGCCAGCCTTCTGCTTGGCTAAAACATGGTACTTAATTGTCATCAGTTGCATTTGTCCCTCAACTTCAACAGTGTCAAATACATTTTAACTGTGGGTGCTAAGTTTGGTTTCATTTTTAGAAAACTGGGAATTGTCTCATAGGAGAAAAATGCATCCTAATTCAGTGATTGGAAAATAGCATTTTACCGTAAAGAGTAAAAAAGTAGCATGATGAGAGTTGGCATTATAAACTGTCTTGTGGTTAAAGAGGGCAATACATTCTATTTCCTGGTTAATTCATAGGAAAAACTGAGTAAGTATGGTGTAATTGTACATTACATACTTTAATTGAACCCTGAATTTAATTGGGATGGCATCAGTATAATCTAAGAATGGAGGAACTCCGGCTTCATTGTGCCCGTGACTTGCTCTTTAGATGTGAAAACCTTCTGTATATGAAAAACCTTGAGTATGGCTCCACCCTGGCAATTAACAAGAATAACTAATTTTGGAGAGTTGTAGTCCACAAGTAGCTCAGGAAACTAAACAGACAGAGAGGCATTGTTGATCCAATTAGATAATAGGAGTACTTTGGTTCTCATTATTCTGATGAGAGGGTACACATTTGCTCTTTGAGCTTCTTGATGGTAAATGGTGCTAATGAGGCCTGATGGATTCCCTGTTCCTAACAAGCCTCTCAGCAGTGCGAGTGATTACAATGGAGATAGATTTGATGGGATGCGCTCCCTTTTGTAGTGTCTCAGCTGCTGACACTCTGCGACATAATCAGGTCACAGAGCCGGTCACAGCCATCAGCAAAAGCCATAGCTCTATCCCTCATTATTAAAGTGCATTATTCAGTTCCAGGCCTTCACAATACTGCCAAGGGCCTTTTTTTTCTTCTTCTTTTTTTGTTAAGCATCAGTTCTCAAATACAAGAGTTAATAAAATCATCAGCTAAAGAACCAGTAAATTAAAGAAATGGAAATAAAGCGCTCCCTTTCAGATTCGTTGAAGGATCACAATTAAATAAGCAGGGAATTTCTTGTACCACACACTGTACAATACAATGTAATATGTCATGTGCAATAAAAAACAGGGAATAGGATTTTTAAAAACATCATTGTCCTCACTGTGGGCTGGCTTGGCAAGCGATAAAGTATCTTTCATTCCAAAAGAAATGTCTTTCTTCCCAACTATTACATGTGTATATGTAGATACTGTTATTGTCACTGTTTTCTGTAACTACTTTTTTCTTAGTGTATTAATTTACAATTCTAAGCATAGCAGCTGTCTTGTCTCAGTTATAGTGGCCAAGGCTACAACATGGAAAATATAGGATAGGCCACAGCGCTAGGACTGCTCTGTTCCCATTGACAAGGCCATTGCCTTCTTTTGGAGGGTGAGCTAATTACAAATTGGTGTGGGAAAAGGTAATTGTAGCGTTTTCTTCATACTCTGATGATACTCAGTTGGGGCTATCTCCCATCCAAAAGAAAATACACTTTTCAAATCTAAGGTGGATTTTAATGCAGTTTAGTTAAGCAAGTGAGAAAAAACTGAGCAGAGAGCCTGGGTTTATTATTTATTTATTAACTTTTGCTTTCAGTTTCATTTCAGCTGTTTAT